CACCATTTTGATTCAGATCCACTGAAGAGAATCTCATCCATACTTGGTGACTACTGATCCTTCCTCTTTGTTGCCAACTTTTACATTTCATTCACCAGCAATTATCAGTACAGATTGATACTTCAGAGTGAAGAAGATGGTAGAATTCCTCAATTTCATCATCATTGGCTTTAGTAGTTGTGCATAAATTTGAATTATAGTGGTATTAATTGGCCTTCATTGAAGGTATATGGATATTATCCTATCACAGATATCACAGACAGCATTGGACTTCAAGACAGATGTTGAAATATTCTTTCTAAAGATGAATATGATGCCATTCCTCTTGTTGTTCTCAGCATATTAAACCATGATTGTCCGATTCAAAATAGACAATATCAGTCCATTTGAGCACACTACTGATTAGGATATCGATCTTTATGCATTTCATTTCACTTTTACAGCTATCAATTTTCCTGGTTTATACTTTGTACATTCCATGTTCTGATTATGCATGGATGTTTGCAGCTGTTACTTCTGATTTTGTATTGTGCCACATCCACAAATGAAGGTCCTAGAAGCTTAACACCTCCACGTCATTAAGGCCAACTCTACTTTGAAAAGGCAGCTCTTCCCCAGTCATACTCTGAATACTTTTCATCTGACGGGCTCATCTTTCGCTATGGTATCTCACAATATTCTGCTGCTATTTCTAAGGTTTTCAGTGGCTAAAGCATTCAGAAGTGGCCTGCCTCTTCTTAGTTGGTCTTATTCTGGAAGCTCTGCTATAAACTGTCTACCATAGGTGACCCTGCTGGTACTTATAATACCAGCAACATAGTTCCCAGCATCACAGCAATATACAAGCTACAACAAAGCGACAAATGAGTGGTGGAGAACTACCAGATGACCCAGTAATTCTACTCCTATATATAAACCTAAAAGACTTGAAAGCAGAAACTCAAATAGATAAATGGATGTACAAATGCATATCAGTGTTCATTACAGCACTATTCATAATAGATAAAAGATAGCAACAACCTAAATTCTCATTAGTGGGTGAATGGATAAGCAAAATGTGGAACACATATACAATGGAATACTGCTCAGCCAGTAAAAGAAATAAGTCTGATACATTCAATATGAGTGGAGCTGGGAGACATTATGCTGAGTGAAATAAATCAATCACAAAAGGAGAAATATTGGATATATTAACTTATATAAAAAGAAAATAAGAGATATACGTATAGAGACCAAAGTTTATTAATGGCTACCAGGAGCAGGAGTTAAGAGGGAAAGTGGGTGATTAGCAGAGATGAAAAATTACAGTGATTAAGCTTAAGATTGTGTAACCAATTATTGCAATTGCTGCCAATAAGTTGTACATCTATAAAAAGCTGAGTTGGCAAAAGTTGTGTGGTAGATATATTTATAATAAAGACATAAAAAATTCTTGCTGAGGCTGCTGTATAATCAAAAACCTCATTAGATTTGATTTCTTGGTTTAGAGGTTTAGGGCCATGGTTTCAAGGAACCTCCCAGGTAATTGGCCTAAAATAGCATGTTTAGTGCTTCTGTTTATCTCCTAATTCATTGCATAGTGTCTGGGATCTTAAAAATTTGCCAGCAGCCACCCAAGGGACAATTGCCTGGAGTAACAGAGGAAGAAAGAGAGTCAATAATAGGAAGAGAAAACAGAATGCACGGCTAATTGCCTCCACAAACAACAGCCTCCTCCGCCATGAGACTAGGACTGAATGGTGCCTGGTTACTGTTACTGAACATTTAGATAAACCATTTTATGGAACAATCACGACAAAAGAGAGGCAAACGCTGAAGAGAATTTCAAACTCTTGTAGACTCCAGACTTTCTGAAGCTATGGAAGCTGTGAACCCCTTAAACTCTTGTCCTGAAATAATCTTTAACCCTTAAACCAAAAAACACTCTGCAGTCTTCTTAAAATCCAACAATAGTTTAACTTAACTAGTAAAGAATGTCAGTCTTGAGCATTATGCCTTTAAAAGTTCTAGCTACATAGTACCAAATTGCCAACAACAACTTGATAAATTAAACAGGAAACTTAGTTGGTAGTGAGTTGATGAGGATCAGAATGATTACAACAACACAGACTTGTGTATGTAAAAACTTGTATTTGTGTAGGCTTTTTCTGTGAATATCCTCAACAACAACAACAACAGAATATATATATATATACACTCTTGAAATTGATAGCTGTGGGGATTTAACTCCAGAGTTCCTAAGGAACCCATGTAATTTTCTTATTTGTTAATTCTGGCAAATATCTTGAGCCGGAGTGTATTTTATGGCACCAAACTAGAGTCACCTATTGTCAATTTCAATTATGACAGTTAGGTTCAACAAATGGACAGCAAATAATGCACCAAGTAGACAGAGGGTGCAAAGAGGGAACACTCACACCGTTTCAAAGAAGTATTTGTTGGAATCCCTTTCCCTGAGGCTGTGGATGTCACAAGTTTCTTATACTCCCAAGTCACCCTAAAGGGAGAAACTCCTACAGAATACACAGTTACATAGTGATAGGCATCTTATCCAGTTCCCAAGCTTCTTTTAGTTTTATTGAGTCCAGTATCTTCTTTTCATTTTAGTAACTCTGAACCAGTTCAATTCATTATGTTGGCAACAGAATTGTACTGATTTGAAAACCAATGTTTCTGGCATAAATAAAGTACACATTCAAGGAATGTTTAGGTGTATAGATTACACTTAATGTTTTTAAATTTATTAGTATTAATTAAAATAAGCAAATTTATTACTTGTACAGTATAGATAGGTTAGTCAACAGAGGTATGGGATGTGTTTACCCTGTTGTTTTTTGGTGCTCCAAGAGTGTCTTTAGTTCTTCTTATTAACTTCTTAAGAATCATGTCCTTGGTTTTGGCAGCTGTCATATTAGTGCTAAATTTTATCGTGCAGACTATAATTCCTTTATTTTTTAATGAACTTTCATCAGTTCTAACTTCTGACTTTTTAGCAGTCTTATCTATGAGATCTAATATGCAAAGAAAAATAAACTTAGAACACTTTCAGAATGTTTTTGCTTTGAGTTGTTAAAATTAGAAATTTAATTTTTCTATATGAGACCTTTCAAGCAAATTAGTCCAAGGACAAATCAGTGTAAAAAGGTACACTGACTTTAATATTTTTCAAAACATTTCCTTATTTTTCAGTGGGAGACAGTATCTTTTTGCAACCACAGTCAAATGCAATAGAGAATCCTCTATCAATTATCCAAGACAAAAATATAGCCCAGAGAAATAACACTTTTCATTCTTTAAAACTGTTTAGCACTTTTTAACATGCTACATTTATAATGAAATGACTTGCAAATGATCTAAAAAGCAGCATGCAGCTGTGTCCACCCAAGGTACTAAAATTAGGGCTTGTTTCCTGACTGACCATCAAGCGGAAGGGTTATTTGGGATGGTGTTTGTAGCAACTTACAAGTAAAACCCAGACTCCAAACACTTCTGGCAGGAAATCTTGTAGCCTACCTCCCTTTACTTCTCACAACTATCTTTTTGTCACCCCATTATTTTCTCCTTGAGAAGTGGAGTTACCACTCCCCAAACTACAAAACTTTCAGAATGGCTGAGCTCCACAGGTGTTTCCATTGTATAGCTTAATTTGAGGACTCCTATGTTGTCATAACAGCTCTACTGCATTACTTTAAAAAGCATTAATGAATAAAAATAGATACTAACGGAGTCCTGGTGTGGTACTATGGGTTAATGCACCAGACTGCAAAGCCATTTGAACTGCAAGGTTGGTGGTTCAAGTTTACCAGCTGCTCCTTGAAAACCCTATACAGGGTAGCTATGGGTCGGAACCGACTCGACGGCACTTAACAACAACAACAACAATGAATAGACTAGAACAGTTACTTCTAGACTTAACCTATGTTTCTGTTGATAGGGGTATTAACTTTGTGATGAGCCATAAATATTCCGCCTATTTTGCAGGGTGGAATAGTTTGAGAGGCATTGGTTTGTCCAATGGTAGAATTCTTGTGTCCTATGTGGGTCACTAGGGGGTTTCATTCCTGCCCAATGCCACCAGTGCCTACCTCCAAAAGGGGGTTACTGTGAGTTGGGGCCCTGACAGCCAACAACATCACGAACAGTTGGAGAGGCTGTTTTTCAAGAGTTTTAAGTTTTTTAAATTACCATTTAGTTTTAAAAATGTTGAAGTTCTTTGACTAGTTCATCAACATCTACTGAAAATTCCTTGACAAATAAAAAATTTTATTTCTCCATTTCTGATAGTATGAAATGAAGTAGAGATAGTTGAAATAGAATGGTTTTGAAATTGTTTATTTGCATTGCTCTACTTACCTGAATTTCCAGTTGATATTTTTTGAGTCTCAGAAATCAAGATGCTGATATTCTGTTTCAGGCTACAGCAATAAAATGTTTTAAGGATTTAAAATTAGTTTATTTGCCATGTAAACAACAATATATAACATATAAGCAACAACAACAAAAAAGAAAGTAGCGTGTGTGATTAATTTTAATTGTAGCTAACAAGTAGCATTTTTCCTGGTTCATACTTTTACAGCACCAATTTTATGGTGTTGCCATTAGAGTTGATATCCAAACTTAATAAAACATAAATTTATTCAAAAAATAAAATTGGATAGATTCCGAGGAATCTATTGGATATTTCATCTGAACGGTTCCTTTTATAAAATGCATTTTGCCTTATCACTCAGCAAAATCTCCATTCACCTTTATTTTGCTTTTCGTTTTCTATTTATTTGATTCAAAATAGCTTATTTTTCTATTTTTAAAATCTATTCATTTCAGTTTAAATGTTGAGCATACAATAAAACTTACTATTTTCAGACTTCATATAATTTTATAATAACTACAGATAAACAATGATTACTATTGTATTAATGTTTCAAAAATGATTTATCTTACACAGGTATTATTTAAAGAATCGATTCCAAATCCTTAATGTGGGATGTAAATGATGGTGGCTTGAACTAAAATGGTACCATTGGAAAAAAGAAAAGTAGAGTAATTCAAGGTATCTTTTGGAGATAGAACCAACTTGATTGGTAGAAAATTGGAAAATGGAAACGTGGGGAAGAGAAACAGTCATTTCTAATAGGTGGGTTATGAGAGATGGACTGATGAGAACAATGTGAGGTATGAGGATTCAAATTCAAGCATGGTTCCTAATTTTCAGGCTTGAATAACTGGGTCTAGTTTATTGCAGTGAGAAACACTGGAGGAAGAATAGGTTTGGAAGAGAAAACAGAGGAAGAATAGGTTTGGAAGAGAAAACAATTAGAGTTGTGCTATGGCTATGTCAAGATATTTTCAATAACCTTGAAAATAAGCCATGGTATTTTCAATAACCTCATATGAATGCGAAAGCTGGAGAGTGAATAAGGAAGATCGTAGAAGAA